CCAGTTGGCATCATGTCAGTGATTCTCTCATTAATACAGGTGTCAGTGTTGATGAGGACAAGGCTGGAGATCACTCTGTCATGCTGACAGAGTCAGAATAACAGACTGGAAGATTTAAAAGGAGGGTGGTGCTTGAAATCATTGTTCATCCTCTGTTAACCATGGTTACTTGCAAGGAAACAGGCGCAGTCATCATTGCTTTGCACAAAAAGGGATTCACAGGCAAGAATATTGCTGCTACTAAGATTGCACCTAAATCAACCAGTTATTGAATGATCAAGAACTTCAAGGAGAGAGGTTCAATTGTTGTGAAGAAGGCTTCAGGGTGTCCAAGAAAGTCCAGCAAATGCCAGGACCATCTCCTAAAGTTGATTCAGCTGCGGGATCGGGGCACCACCAGTGCAGAGATTGCTCAGTAATAGCAGCAGGCAGATGTGAGTGCATCTGCATGCACAGTGAGGAGAAGACTTTTGGAGGATGGCCTGGTGTCAAGAAGGGCATCAAAGAAGCCACTTCTGTCCAGGAAAAACATCAAGTACAGACTGATATTCTGCAAAAGGTACAGGGATTGGACTGCTGAGGACTGGGGTAAAGTCATTTTCTCTGATGTATCCCCTCTCGGATATTAGGGCATCTGCAAAAAACCTTGTCCAGCGAAGAAACGGTGACCAGTACCATCAGTCCTGGGTCATGCCAACAGTAAAGCATCCTGAGACCACTCATGTGTAGGGTTGCTTCTCAGCCAAAGGAGTGGGGCTCTCTCACAATTTTGCCTAAGAACACAGCCATGAATAAAGAATGGTCCAAAACCATCCTCCGAGAGCAACTTCTCCCAACCATCCAAGAACAGTTTGGTGACGAACAATGCCTTCTCCAGCATGATGGAGCATAAGGCAAAAGTGATAACTAAGTGGCTTGGGGAACAAAACATCAACATTTTGGGTCCATGGCCAGGAAACTCCCCAGACCATAATACCAATGAAAACTTGTGGTTAATGCTTAAGAGGCAAATGAACAAAAAACCCCACAAATTCTGACAAACTCAAGAATGGGCTACCATCAGTCAGTCAGGATGTGGCCAAGAAGTTGATTGACAGCATGCCGGGGTGAATTGCAGAGGTCTTGAGAAAGAAGGGTCAACACTGCAAATATTGACTGCATAAACGTAATGTAATTGTCAATTGACTTTTATGAAATGCTTGTAATTATACTTCAGTATACCATAGTAACATCTGACAAAAAAAAAAAATCTAAAAACACCGAAGCAGCAGACTTTGTGAAAATTAATATTTGTGTAATTCTCAAAACTTTTGGCCAGGGCTGTACATAAGGATCAAGTGGGGGATCAATATGTTATATCCTGTACATAACAATACCTACTTGATCTACAAAAGGATCAAGTAGGGATCAAGTCTAGCTTCCTCTACATCAGGGTTCCTTAACCACCTCCAGTCTGGACACTTTCACCCCCCCCTTCCTGTCCAGGCCAATTTTCAGCTTTCAGTGCTATCACACTTTGAATGACAATTGTGCGGTCATGCAACACTGTACCCATATGAATTGTTTAGCATTTTTTTGAGACAGATAAAGCTTTATTTTGGGGATATTTATTAAGCACTGGGATTTTTATTTTTTTTTGCTATGTAAATCAAAAAGTCCAAAAATTGAGAAAAAGTGTTTTTCTTATAAAATTTTGCAAATAAATAGTATTTCATCATAAATCTTGGCTAAAATTTATTCCGTTATATTTTTAGTAAAAAAAAAAAAATAACCCAAATTAGTTTATAACCAAAAATTATAATTTTTAAACATTTTTTTAATTTTTTTTATATTTATTTTTTTACATACTGTCACCCTAGCAGTACAGTGTCACCATAGTGACACTGTACTAGTGGGGGGTGATGAAGATTTTTAATTTTTTTTACACGGATTGTACACCCGTAAAGGATGTAAAAGCAATCATTTCTCCTCCTCTCTAGCTGCATTCCTGCAGCCATTGAGAACTACTGTGTGAGCTGTGATTGGTCACAGCTTGTCACATGGTACAAGGCTGTTGTGAATAGCCTTGTACCATGTGACCTCTGATCATTCACAGATTTCACACGTAGTAAGCAATGATGTCAGAAGTGACATCTTGCTTACTACTATTCATGTGATCACTGATTAGCCAATCAGTGATCACATGATCGGGACCTCACACAGAGGTCCCATCCGATGATCGGTGTTCCACTGTGTCTGGAGGGCACAGCGGCACCGGTTCGCGGTGCTGTGGACACCCGACTCTGCACTGCCACCTTCCGGCCGTTTATATACAACGGCCGGACGGGAGGTGGTTAACCAAAGTTCCATGGAACCTAAGGTTCCTCTAGAGCAGTGGTTCTCAGCCTTCCTAATGCCGCGACCCTTTAATACAGTTCCTCATGTTGTGGTGACCCCCAACCATAAAATTATTTACCCAGTAATTATAATTCATGATGTGTCGTTTTACCTCCAATACTGCTGCTTTCAACACAGTAGCTGCTTTTTACAGAGTAGCTGCTTTCAACACAGCAGCTGCTTTCTACACAGTAGCTGCTCTTTTCACATCGGAAATATGTGTTTTCTGATGGTCTTAGGGGACCCCTGTGAAAGGGTCGTTCGACCCCCAAAGGGGTCGCGACCCACAGGTTTAGAACCACTGCTCTAGAGGTTGGTAGAGGTTCCTCAAGCAATGAGCAGTTTCTGCCTCTCAGATAGATTACCACTGACACCATTGATCATTTTAGCTATCTGTAAGGGGCAATTCTTCCCAATGACCAGAAGTGTGAAGAGCATTCTTCCCACTGACCATCACAGCAACGTATCAGGAGTTGTAGATATATTATTTCCCTGAGACCTGAAAGTTATTTCAAGGGCTCCTCTGTGTTGAAACCGTTGAGAAAGGCTACTCCAATACAAGCAGTGGCAGTTGACACAAGTTCTACTCAAAAAGTATTTATTTTTACAAAATAAAGGACAAACGCAGGGTGTCACCAGTCCCCTGCAGCAACACTTTCCATTCTTTGCAGGTAGAACTGTGCCCTCTTGTCATATGATCCTGAACTGTACATCCTCCGGCAACCAAAGTGCTTGGAACCTCGAAATGCTCAGATTTAGAAACGTCTGAAAATAAAGCCACCCACAGCCAGAGGGGGCTTTAGCTAGAAGGACAAATAATTGCTAAAATTCAGGCCCCCACCCTTCCCCTGGGCCAGTCTATGAATTTTTCATGGCCGACTGTCCTGTACATGTAATATCTGGCTCCTGACGATCATAAAACTGCACGTTGTCTTTGGATAAACTCCCTTTCTTTCCATTGAAAGGCTCATGAAATTCCTTACAGTCCCTTCTTTTTCCTTGTTTATACAAAAGTGTAGACAGAGAAATAAAGAGAGACTGTGCGTCCGCCATCTTCAGCTCGGAAAATCAAATATCTGCGTGAAGCTTCCTATAAAGGATCCTAACATTACATATATAATATACCGTACATGCACAATATACTTATTGAGGCACATCACAGACTGGAAACAGGGTCAGCTATCGATACTCGGAGCCGAGTGTTTACTGTATATGTAATCACACCTTTTTTCTTTGCAACGTTTCTGAGCGAATGGAAATTTTTACTACTCAATCCTACTTATGGGCACTCAAAGTTTTACTGATTATAGTAAAACATTTCTTTGTGAGAGGGGAAAAAAAAAGAAAGGCAGAATGTAACGGTTTCTATAGAACTGAACTATGGAGTCAGCAAACCAAGACCATGGGCATGACTAGGCATCAATGTCTTCTTTACAGGGCTCCATTGTTGGACCTGGAAGTCGTTATTTCCATATTGAGCACCCCAGAACACATTTTGGGGGTTTAGAAGAATTTGGAATGGTCCATTCATGGCTTTAAGGAACCCTATCGATGGGAAATTGACCCTTACTAAAATGTTGATGTTCAACATCCCCTACAAGCACTCAGTGATTCTTCCCTCTGACCTCCCGTCATAACAGTAAAAGTGGCATCGATGTCCTCTTTACAGGGCTCCATTGATGGACCTGGAAGTCGATATTTCCATACTGAGCACCCCAGGACACATTTTGGGGTTTAGAAGAATTTTTATTGGTCCATTGATGGCTTTAAGGAACCCTGTCGATGGGAAATTGACCTTTACTAAAATGTTGATGATCAACATCCCCTACAAGCACTCAATGATTCTTCACTCTGACCTCCCGTCATAACAGTAAAAGTGGCATCGATGTCCTCTTTACAGGGCTCCATTGTTGGACCTGGAAGTCGATATTTCCATATGAGCACCCCAGGACACATTTTGGGGTTTAGAAGAATTTGGAATGGTCCATTCATGGCTTTAAGCTGCACATGCTCAGTTTGGTGTGTATTGCTAGAGTTTTGTTTTTTTTTTTTTTTTTTTAACGGGCGCATGTGATCAGCACAGGGTCAAATCAGCACTGTCCAGACAGAGGGTCAGGGGTTATGCAGCCTCATAGGACAAGCAGGAGAATGAAAACTCCTCCTACAAGCTTTAACCAGTGCTTGGCTGGACACTGATAGATGTCATAAGACTGCTATATACTGCTTATGAGAAAAGGTATTTAGCCGTTTATATTTACTAAAATAATTTCATGTCTATGTTCTGTGTACTGTGGGAGACCAGATATAGTGCATGCATGGTCAGGGTATAGTGCATGCAGGGTCCTGGGTGTAGTAACACTTTAAAAGTTGAAAGGAGAACAGGCTATGGATCTCCTAGGCAAGTCATACATGGAAAACCCGGTTTACCAAAACACATATCTATAAGGGCTTATAGGTAATATTGGTGCTGAAGCTGCAAGTTTATTCAAGCACACATATTCTTTAACACAGGGGTATTAAAACTTTCTAAAAAGAAGGCAAACTCACTACTTTAGACTTTATGGAGGCCAGAAAGGGGCCTGTGAGAGTAGAAAATGCCTCAGCATCAGTGGTCAGTAAACAATACTTGGTGGTTAGTGGAAGTAAAAAAATAACTTAACACCTGTAGTCAGTGGGTGAAAAAATAATTCTCCTTGTTGCCAGTGGAAACAGCACCCCATCACAGAGCATCTGTAGGAGTACTCGTTCCCTCATAGCGATTACGCCCCATTGTTGGTGTCAGTGGAAGGAATGGTGCCCCATTGTTGGTGTCAGTGGAAGGAATGGCGCCCCATTGTTGGTGTCAGTGGAAGGAATGGTGCCCCAATGTTGGTGTCAGTGGAAGGAATGGTGCCCCATTGTTGGTGTCAGTGGAAGGAATGGTGCCCCATTGTTGGTGTTAGTGAAAGCAATGGTGCCCCATTGTTGGTGTTAGTGAAAGCAATGGTGCCCCATTGTTGGTGTCAGTGAAAGGAATGGTGCCCCATTGTTGATGTTAGTGCAAATAATGGTGCCCCCTTGTTGGGAGTCAGTGGAAGGAATGATGCCCCTTGTTGGAGTCAGTGGAAGGAATGGTGCCCCATTGTTGGTATCAGTGAAAGAAATGGTGCCCCCTTGTTGGAGTCAGTGGAAGGAATGGTGCCCCCTTGTTGGTATCAGCGGAAGGAATGGTGCCCCATTGTTGGTATCAGCGGAAGGAATGGTTCCCCATTGTTGGTATCAGTGGAAGAAATCGTGCCCCATTGTTGTCCAGTGGAAGGGATAGTGACCGTTTAAAAAGGTCAACAAAAATGCTGCGTCTGGTCTACAGTTTGGGGACCACTGTTTTAACATAAAAATATAGGATTATAATAAAGAAGACAAGAAAAAAAAAAAAAAAGGCAAGACACACAAAAAACCAACTCTCTGCTCAGAAAGTAAAAACAGTCAACATATCAAGGATACAGTGAATAGCACTACACACACATGCTTGTGCTGGGATCACCCAACCGTATCTCTCAGGGAAGCTTTGGAGAGGCCGAGCTGTCAGTCACATTGGCAGCTCTTGATGCTGCAGGGACCAGTGCCAATGACAGACAGTGATTGGCAGCTCCCCTTCTTAGCTGGTTCTGGAGCGCTGACCTTGTGTTTGACAAGCAGTAGTGCACAGTGGCCCAAAGCAGGAAACAAGCCCAAGAGACAACTGGCTCGTCAGCTCGACTACCCCTCCAGTCAGTCAGGCAAGAGGATCACTTATACAGCAAGCATCAGGTGGCAGGATACGAGGTGTTTGCAGAAGTGAAACCCAAGGAATCTGGAAAGAATGTTTTACCGAAAACACGAATCACCCTTCTGTGGAACGTGTCATCGGTTTTCACCTCCACAATGTGACCGGCGCTGACTGACTGACTTTCAACAGCTGAATTAAACAGGTGACACAAATACCAGCTTTAGGTCAATAAATGATCGGGTACAGATTCAGTGAGGGCGATGGAATTGCACACAATCCAACAATGGACAAAGCTCAGATGACCATCCAACAATTTCAGGGAGCTTCTCATGAAAAGGTACATTGACGATTCTTGGTAAAATGATAGCTAGTCTCTGGTTTCTGAAGTAGCTGACCAAAAAAGCATGCAAACAATGACGTCACAACAGCAACAAACCGCTGAGTACATCAGGGAAATGTGTCATAGCTTCATCTTGCTTCCTGTGCCAAATTGAGATAAAGGGAAGAGTTAGTGGAGTTAGAGCACAATCTTGCCTTTTTCTACAATTTGGATGTTCTCGAGGCTGGCATTGAGCCTAGATCTGCACCTAAGTTCCGCTAGGCTGGCTATATATGGATCAACCTAGAGCAAGTGTTCTAGGATATATCCTGATGTGTATACTGGGCTGGCTATATATGGATCAACCTAGAGCAAGTGTTCTAGGATATATCCTGATGTGTATACTGGGCTGGCTATATATGGATCAACTAGAGCAAGTGTTCTAGGATATATCCTGACCTGTGTATACTGGGCTGGCTATATATGGATCAACCTAGAGCAAGTGTTCTAGGATATATCCTGACCTGTATACTAGGCTGGCTATATATGGGATCAACCTAGAGCAAGTGTTCTAGGATATATCCTGACCTGTATACTAGGCTGGCTATATATGGATCAAGCTAGAGCAAGTGTTCTAGGATATATCCTGACCTGTATACTAGGCTGGCTATATATGGGATCAACCTAGAGCAAGTGTTCTAGGATATATCCTGACCTGTATACTAGGCTGGCTATATATGGATCAACCTAGAGCAAGTGTTCTAGGATATATCCTGACCTGTATACTAGGCTGGCTATATATGGATCAACCTAGAGCAAGTGTTCTAGGATATATCCTGACCTGTATACTAGGCTGGCTATATATGGGATCAACTAGAGCAAGTGTTCTAGGATATATCCTGACCTGTATACTAGGCTGGCTATATATGGATCAAGCTAGAGCAAGTGTTCTAGGATATATCCTGACCTGTATACTAGGCTGGCTATATATGGGATCAACCTAGAGCAAGTGTTCTAGGATATATCCTGACCTGTATACTAGGCTGGCTATATATGGATCAACCTAGAGCAAGTGTTCTAGGATATATTCCTGACCTGTATACTAGGCTGGCTATATATGGATCAACCTAGAGCAAGTGGTCTAGGATATATCCTGACCTGTATACTAGGCTGGCTATATATGGATCAAGCTAGAGCAAGTGTTCTAGGATATATCCTGACCTGTATACTAGGCTGGCTATATATGGATCAAGCTAGAGCAAGTGTTCTAGGATATATCCTGACCTGTATACTAGGCTGGCTATATATGGATCAACCTAGAGCAAGTGTTCTAGGATATATCCTGACCTGTATACTAGGCTGGTTATATATGGATCAACCTAGAGCAAGTGTTCTTGGATATATCCTGATCTGTATACTTGATCAGGGCTATTGACTCAAAGTACGGACCTTAAAGAAAAAATTTTCAGATGATTTTCTGTGATGGTGGCCAACCAACTTCTACCATGACTGGTGTCCTGACTGATAATGTAGAAAATCAGCCTCTTTCAACCTTTTCAACACAAAGGAACCCTTGAAAAATGTTCCAGTCTCAGGGAACCCATGCTAAAAATGACTATATCTACAACTCAAGATACATTAGTGTGATGGTCAGTGGGAAGAATGCTCCTCACACTTCTGGTGATTGGAAAGAATTACCCCCCTGACAGATAGCTAAAAAGGTCACTAGTGTCAGTGGGAACTTATCTGAGAGACAGAAATTGCTCATTGCTCAAGGAACCCCTAGAAACCTCTGCATGAACCACTGGGTTCCATGGAACCCTGGTTGAGAAACCCTGGTTTAGAGGAAGCTGGACATGATCCCCACTTTATTATTATAATACAGGATTTATATAGCGCCAGCAGTTTGCTCAGCGCTTTACAATATAATGGGAGACAATACAGTTCAATACAAGAGGGATTTGAGGGCCCTGCTCCTTGGAGCTTACAATCTAGGAGGGAGGGGCTAGTGGTACAAAAGGTAGTAACTGTGGGGGATGGAGTGGAAGGAGGAAAAGAAGATTCCATTATTAGCTGAGGGCAGGATAGGCTTTCCTGAAGAGATAGGTTTACAGAGCTCGCCTAAAATTGAGCAGAGTAGGCGATAGTCTGATAAATTGGGGTAGAGAGCTCCAGAGGATGGGGGAAGCTCTGTAGAAGTCCTATGATCCTTATGTATTGTTATGTTGAGGATATAGCATAACATAATCCTCAGTTGAGCCTTATGTAGATCCCTATGTACCGCTAGAAGCCTCTGGAGGAGACCCAACATAATATGAAACAGCAAAGAGCTACCATATTGGCGTAACCTTTCAAAAGCAATATGAAAAGGGAGGGAGGAGCGCCCATAAAAGAGTATGCGTTTAAAGCTCCAATCAAACTTTTCTGGGGGGGGGCTGCATTCACAGACAAGTGTCTTTGGTTGTTTTCACAGGCTTAGTTTGAGTGTATGACAGGCATTCTTGAGATTTATTTTTTAGTTATTTTTAATCAATGGAAAGCTATTTACTATAGAAAAAACACGTGAGCTACGCACACTTTTTGCACATTTTCGGGTGTTTCCATTGTAGTCTACTGTGGCCAAAAGCAAGCTTGTAGCTCAAAAGAAATGTATGTACTTTTTAGGGCTTTAAAAGCGGAGCTCCAGTCTCTGGTGAAAAAATAAAAGTTGGCAGCTATAAAAACTGTAGTTCTGCATAGGAGAACTTCCGCCTAGGGGGTCGGAGCTGAAGTGGGTGCGGGTACCTGTCAAAATCAGGTACCTGCTTCCCCATAGTTGCCAATTTCCAACAGGGAGCAGGGGGACGAGTAGTAAGGCGGAACTTCCCCTTTTGGGTGGCGCTCCGCTTTAAGCTACAACACTATACCCAGGTGTGAACAGGCACAACTGAAAACAATGGGATTTGGATACGGAGCTTGGAACTAAAAAAACACTCTGGTGTGAATGGGGTTTTAGAGTAAGGAAGGATTGCTACTTTTATCACATTTTGTTTGTTGTTTCTGTAACCATTAACTGCAAGCTTTTATTGTCATCTCCTAACATCCTATGTGTTCTCCAGGACAGATAACTGACGTCTCCCTAAAGGTGGCACAGATGGAACAAAAACATGACAACTATTCCCCAGTTTAACCATTAAAAAAAGTTTGGTTGGAGTTGGGCTTTAAGGCTGAACGCTAGACAGAGAAACCTTTATTTAAATATATTCCTCAATAGCCACGAATTATACAAATCCACGTTGTGTACAACAAATGCCCTTGCAAACCCAGATATTTGAAATGAAAGTAAATGGGGTAGTGAATTCCTTATGAACTCTTTACTATGGGTACCACATCCTCCAAAGAACTACCGTATTTTTCGCTCCATAAGACACGCCTAGGTTTTAGAGGAGAAAAACAAGAAAAAAAATATTCTGAACCAATGGACTGCAGACACAGTACAGGGGATGACCAGAGACTGCGGACACAGTACAGGGGATGACCAGAGACTGCGGACACAGTACAGGGGATGACCAGAGACTGTGGACACAGTACAGGGGATGACCAGAGACTGCGGACACAGTACAGGGGATGACCAGAGACTGCGGACACAGTACAGGGGATGACCAGAGACTGCGGACACAGTACAGGGGATGACCAGAGACTGCGGACACAGTACAGGGGATGACCAGAGACTGCGGACACAGTACAGGGGATGACCAGAGACTGCGGACACAGTACAGGGGATGACCAGAGACTGCGGACACAGTACAGGGGATGACCAGAGACTGCGGACACAGTACAGGGGATGACCAGAGACTGTGGACACAGTACAGGGGATGACCAGAGACTGCGGACACAGTACAGGGGATGACCAGAGACTGCGGACACAGTACAGGGGATGACCAGAGACTGCGGACACAGTACAGGGGATGACCAGAGACTGCGGACACAGTACAGGGGATGACCAGAGACTGCGGACACAGTAGAGGGGATGACCAGAGACTGCGGACACAGTAGAGGGGATGACCAGAGACTGCGGACACAGTAGAGGGGATGACCAGAGACTGCGGACAGTACAGGGGATGACCAGAGACTGCGGACACAGTACAGGAGATGACCAGAGACTGCGGACACAGTACAGGGGATGACCAGAGACTGCGGACACAGTACAGGAGATGGCCAGAGACTGCAGACATAGTACAGGGGATGGCCAGAGACTGCAGACACAGTAGAGGGGATGACCAGAGACTGCGGACACAGTAGAGGGGATGACCAGAGACTGCGGACACAGTAGAGGGGATGACCAGAGACTGCGGACAGTACAGGGGATGACCAGAGACTGCGGACACAGTACAGGAGATGACCAGAGACTGCGGACACAGTACAGGAGATGGCCAGAGACTGCAGACATAGTACAGGAGATGGCCAGAGACTGCAGACATAGTACAGGGGATGACCAGAGACTGCAGACATGCTACAGGAGATGACCAGAGACTGCAGACATAGTACAGAAGACCAGAGACTGCAGACAGTGCAGGGAATGACCAGAGACTGCAGACAGTACAGGGAATGACCAGAGACTGCAGACAGTACAGGGAATGACCAGAGACCGCAGACAGTACAGGGAATGTCCAGAGACTGCAGACAGTACAGGGAATGTCCAGAGACTGCAGACAGTACAGGGAATGTCCAGAGACTGCAGACAGTACAGGGAATGTCCAGAGACTGCAGACAGTAAAAGGAGATTACCATAGACTGCGGACCTTTGAGGAGGGAGGGGGAACGGGTACCTGAAATTTGACAGGTACCCGCTCCCACTTCAGCGGAGTTGTCCTTCCTTCTTCCCGCAGCGGCTTCTGTGACAGCCGGGTGCCCACTGGGCATGTGCGAGAAGCGCCACGTTTTGTGAATGGCCCGGAGCCTTCTGGGACCTGTCATGTGTCCCAGAAGACACCGGACCATTCACAAAGCGCGGCGCTTCTCGCGCATGCGAAGTGGGCACCCGGCTGTCACAGAAGCCGCCGCGGGAAGACTGCAGCACTGGAGCGAGGAACAGGTAAGGTCCTGCAGGAGAGAAGAGCTGAGCGGCCGGCCCAATATTCTGACATGGGCGGCGGCAGAAATACCGGACCGGCCGCTTTACATTCGCTCCATAAGACGCACTGACATTTTCCCCCCTTTTTTGGGGAGAAAAAAGTGCGTCTTATGGAGCGAAAAATACGGTATATTCTAACAAGTTCAGAAACAGAAACGAATAGGAATTTATTGGAACCAAATTTACTAATCTTATATATAAAATTAAATTTTTATTGTAAATTAAAATGCCATATTAAAAAACCTCCATTACACATTGCTGAGATCACAATTTACACCTTTCTACCATAGATACTCCTAGATTGTAAGCTCCCAGGATCAGGGCCCTCCTATCCCTCTTGTATTGAACTGTATTGTTGCTGTATTGTCTCCCTTTATATTGTAAAGTGCTGAGCAAACTGTTGGCGCTATATAAATCCTGTATAATAATAATATATATATCCTGTATAACGATAATATATATATCCTGTATAATAATAATATATATATCCTGTATAATAATAATAATATCATCCAATAATAATAATTAGTTGCAGTTAAAATCATCCAACAATTAGTTGCAGTTAAAAGCTGAAATATGGGGTCTCCAGTCTCAACGCGTTTCACAGGTCAGCGCCTGTTTCTTCAGGGAGAACAAAACATTTTTCTCATTCTCTACAATATCAGCAACATGTTCACATATACAATCACCATTTACAAGAAAAACAGAGAGACATCGTCAAGAATGGACAGATCCAGATGTCAATCCTAGAAACAGAGAGAAGGCAGCTTAGCCTGGGGATGGGAACCAGGCAGGTGGCTCAGAATAAAATACCCTCCCATTCATGATCCTCCAATTCAATGGAAGCAGTCTTCTCTATGGTCCCCTATGCATCACATCAAGAGGGATACCAGATATTACCTTGTAAAAGTAGCAGCGACATGGTCACTGTGCTTATACAAAGCCTGTGCAGAAAGCAAAGCAGTGGGAGGGGCCCAGCAAGCCCACCAATTACATAGGGACTGCAGAAAACTACAGGAGGAGGCGGAGACAAGACCAGTAACCCTGCACAAGGAGAGGGAACAGCAGCAACTGGTTTTTATTACAGGAAGCAAAGTTTCACACTGGATAGTGATGAACAGATCTGGAAGAAACACACAAAGCACACCAAGATTCAAGCAAGAAAACACGTCTCTTTTATTTAGATAGTATTTACTTATCCCGGAGGTCGGCTTTAACTAATGTGGCTTTGCACTTCTGTTTTCTTGCTTTTTTAACCAACCCAGTCTACCAAATAATCAAAATAATGAGCCCTGCATAAAAATACAGCTCTTCTACTCGACTGCATGCTGCCCTATCAAAACATTTTACTTCGGTTTTTAACGTTCTCCTCTAAAAAAAAAACACAAACACACGCAACAATATCCTGCGGCACTCTTAATACAGAAAGCCGCAAATTTAACTTTTCCCCGTTGACCACACAAACACATCAATGAGATTTGCTAGCAGCTATAGGACAAACTGCTTTCAGGATTCCATAATTAGTCAGGGTTTAGCACATTCCAAGCAAGGCTAGGAGATGAGATACGTGTAACAACCATAAAACTAACCCAACCAGTTTCCACGCTGCAGCGGAAGTATCGCAGAACATAAAAACGTAAACAGGTCTGCATAGCAGACAGGTTAAAAGGCAACCAGAGGAAGAAAAGGTAACTGTTTTACTTGCCAAACATTTTCCAAAGTTATGTATTTACTCCACGGACTTCTGCTGTGTTCTACATTTACATAGCCTAACAGGAATTGCGATGTTAGGTGATTTTTTTTATTTATTGTTTTAATTATAAATTCAGAATTTATGATAGTTTAGGGCAGCAATGGGCAAACTACGGCCCGGCGGACCTTTTAATCCGGCCCGCGGAGCGTGATACGAAAAAAAAAAAACCAGCCAGGGCAGGCAAACATTTGCATCATTCAGCGCGCTCAAATGCAATGATTGGCCAGTCTCGCTGCCACTCACATCCTGATAGCCAGTGATTGGCTGTCAGGATGTGTGTAGGCGGGGCAGCGTGACGAACGTGAGGGGAGCTAGGCTCCTCTCACAGTCCGCCCTGAAGACCGGAACGGCGCGGGAACACGGCAAGAGGAACGCGCGGAGCAAAGGTAAGTAAAATTTGAATTTAATTTATATTAATTCACACATACACATCATTCATCTACTCTTGGTCCGGCCCCCGGGTCCAATATATGAACCCATTGCGGCCCTCAAGTCAAAAAGTTTGCCCACCCCTGGTTTAGGGTCTGTAGAACCTCCATTCAGTCTGCTATAAAATGTTTTAAACAACTGAGTAGACCAGCATACTAGGGACAATGACCATGTGCACCAGGGTCTCTCAACTAGGGTTACTCCAGAGGTTGCTAGAGGTTCCTTGAGCAATAAGTGATTTCAGACTGTAGGCAAGTTCAGTCTATTTCTCTCCACTGCAGGTAGCGCTCAACCGCAGTGGAATTCAAGAGGAACATATGGTGTCCTGGGTCACGGGAGGGAAGCGACCCGGTTGGATGCTGCAATCTCATGTGACTCTGGTGGCCATCTTGGGTCAAGCAGAGTCTATTTAAGACCCTTGCTCCCAGGCCTGGTACCTCATTGTCGGGGATCACCGCGGCGCTGGGCTCGGTGCAGTGCACCGCCCTGTGCAGGGACGCAGGCGCTGGGACCTGGCCGAAAGCAGCAATCGAGTTCGCGCATGCGCAGTAGAGACCGCGGGCGCGCGCCTGGCACCAATGACAGCGCAGGGCGGGATATTTAAATGGCCCTGAGCTGTCATTCAGTGCCTTCTGGTCTCCTTGTATCCTGTGAACCTGTTTCTAGTAAGTTGCTGACCCGGATTGTGCCCTGACCTTGCTGCTTTCTCCTGTTTTGACCCTTGCTTGCCTGACCTCTCTCCTGGATGCCCCCTATTGGATCTGACCTGCTGTTGGTGACCTGGCGTGTGACCCGACTATTCTTTGCCCGCTGCTCTGTACCGCACCGTCCCCATAGTTACCGGCCCGGCCTGCCTGACCTTGCACCTGCTCAGCCATCCATCCCTCTCAACGGGGTCTCCAGACCTCCTCATACCTGGCTCTCTCCCGTGGGAGCCCCTGGTGAATACCCCTACCACTGACGGGTGTCCTCAGTAGTCACGACCTGGTCCCGGGGTACTCCAAGTCCATCCCCACCATCAGGGGCTCTGGTGAACAAGTACTCTGGGGCTTAGACTCCGTACGTTGGGGACGCCTGATCAGTGGAGTGCTAGTGGTACCGCCGGGCGGTCCCTTACACTCATTTTGTGAATAGGCAGAATAGGGACAGGTCAACCGTCTGTCAGAGAAAGTGAATAGTGGTATGGAAAGGACCCAGGTGAGTAGGGACAGGTTGGGGGACACGCCGTCCTTTCTTGGGTGAATTTCGGCCAGGCCACATTCTGTTCTCTGAGACAAATGCAGTCAGCACACTCAAGACCCACTCTGTTCTACATGACAAAGACATACTGTAACTGTTTCCCGGTCGGGTGCCTTCCCGCCAGGCTGTTTGTAAACTGAACTTTAACGTTAATACGAGTTCTGTTCCCGCAACTGTTATCTGTAATTACTGCCACCACACCATGCCGCACATCCCAACATGCCTCTTACATCAGTAAGCATTGACACCAGTTATCTGTGAGAGATGGGATTATTTCCATTAAGCGTAGGGAGCATTCTTCCCACTGACCATCACACTAATGCGAGCTGTAAATATAATACTTATTAACAGGGGTTCCCTGGAGTGAAACCGTCATATCAAGGGTTCCTCCATGTGAAAAAAGGTTGAGAAAGGCTGCTGCACACCATTCCACATACAAGCCATCCTAAATCCCACCCAGTCAGACAGGCAACAAAACGACCAGAATTGTGAGTCAGTTATTATATCATGACTAGCAGTTCAACACTAAGAGCCTAAAGGTCAGGGTGAGATAGCAAAATGATGACCTATTCAGTGTGGTGATCCTTCTTCACAGTCCAATCACAAACTGGGGATGGGTTCCAGACTAAGCTGCATTGCTTAACTGAAGAGACAAAAAGTTGAGTCATCAACTAGTGAGAGACTGGTGAGGTCATTACAAAACCGATATTATTGACCTCATTCCATAATATCAACCAAACTGTCCTCTTCACCACTCCCAAGACCTCCTTGCTCTCTCAAATCTTCCCATGCTCACCTGCAGGATTTCTCCAAAGCCTCTCAAGTCTGGAACTCTGTACGACAATCTTCTGCTTTGTCCACCTTTAGGTGATCCCTGAAAACACATCTCTTTAAGAGGCCTACCCCATCTCCACCTAGTGAACGCTACGTTTACTTTCTCGATCAGCTCATCCTGCTCACAGATAATCCCTTTTTTATCACTTGACCCTCCCTTCTAGATTGTAA